TAAAAAAGATTAGAATAAGTCTGGAACTGCAAATAGCCTTTGAACCCTACATAGTTTTCTAGCACTAAAATTACTGTTGTTTATTAGCAATGAATTTCATCTCTATAGTAATGATATTTAATCATGTACAAGCACTTACGCTTTTCTTGTCAGTACACTATATGAGGTTTTTTGCCTATAACAAAATGGAATAGAGCCAGAAAACATCTCAAGAAGCCCCTGAAAATAAATGTCATCTGATTCTCAGGGTAAAATACAGATGAAAGTGAGGGGAGGGAACCTATAACACATACCTCTTTTTCTTGCACTCTGCTTCACCAGTAAATATTCATGTATAAGTCTAAAAACTTTAGTCAAAAACTGAGCCCAAAAAATTGGGTTGATTTATCTACAGGTCAATGTAAGGACTGTTCTTTAACTCTTATTTAAAAAGGAACCATCCCCTGGTGAAAGGCAATAATGTAATCTGTCCTAACTCATCCCCCTCCACCCTCCCATCCAGCCAGCTTTTAGAGTGGGTACAAACAGATATGCCTGCTGGAATTTTGTAAATTCTTTGGCATCTTTTTCATTTCCTTCATCCTTTACATCCTTTGTTACATGGTCGTAAGTTTTACCCTTGAATTATCCATGGGTCATACTTATAATTGTGGTCCCAAAACCTGCCCTCAACTTATAAATGAGTTCAACTTATAGTTGAGTATACAGTAATTATCTTCTTTCTTACATTTTCCCCTTGACCTTCTCACCATCTCTTTCCCTCTTTCCTTTCTCTTGCCTTACCTTATGCCTCCGCGTAAGTCAGAAATGTCTTGAAGGCACACAACAACAAAATCTAATTAAAATGCATAATATTGCTACATCAAGCAAGTCATGAAAAGCAACAGGTTCCATGGAACCTTAAATACTGAGCATTATATTACTGCTTTAGCCCTTCTTTGTTGCATACCTCCTCTTTTACTCCAATCATTTACATTGCTTTCTATACCAGCAGTTCTTCACCTTTTCTTTACCACAGACCCCCTTTAAATATTTTTGTTGCCACAGAGCACCAGTATTTAACTCAAGATTTAAAACCCTAAAATGTATCCAATATTTATTTAAAGTCATTTTCAAGGGTCTTCAGATTTGGAGAGAAGGGAGAAATAAGTAAATGCACACTCTCCTATTATAATATATTTTCTGGCGTATAAGACTACTTTTTAACCTGTAAAATCTGGGGTTAAAGTGGGGGGGTCGTCTTATACACCGGGTATAAGGAGGTTCATGATAGGTTTGCCTTAGTGTCATCATTAGTTGGAAATGACTTGAAGGTGCACAGCAACAACAACAACAGTTTTGGAAGTCATACTCTTCCCAAACTCTATATTTTAACTGGAAAAGTGGGGGGTTGTCTTATACGCCGGAAAATACGGTAGTCGCTTTCTGGGTGTGCCTATGTGCGTACATGAGATGTGGGGGTAAAGCTTGCTTCTCATTCCTCCATCCTGTGTGCTGGTTTGATATGGTTGAGTGGGAGCTCCCTGAAAGTAGAGCCACACACACACACGTGTGAGTGAGCACACATACACATAGACGTAATACACACTCTCACTTATAGACATCCAAGGTGCATCTCCCTCTGCTCTAGAACTGCTGCTCCTGCTACCGCCAGTTATGCCAGCCAGCCCACTAACCCATTGTCTCCCCTCAACTCCAATTCTGCGCGCAACCACCTATCATTCTACACCAGGGGTAGGCAACTTTTCCCATTTAAGGGTCGAAGGACTTCAGCTCCCAGAATCCCAGGAGCTATTGGCCAACATGGGACTACTGGCCAACATGGCCGAGGCTTCTGGGAGCTGAAGTCCCTCGGCCCTTAACGGGGAAAGGTTGCCTACCCCTGTCACAATACAGTTTTTCGCAGTGACAAAATGAGGTGGGAGGGAGGGAAGGGAATGGAAGTAGCCAGAGAGCAAGAAAAGATGCCTGGCCAGAGCTGCAAAGACTTGTTTGTCAAAAGCATCTTTGCTGCTGAGGCTTCCTCTTGCCATTTTCCCCTTGGAGTTCCTGGAGGAACTAAAGTGGTAAAGCCAAGGCAAGGAGGCTGGGAAGGTGGAAGGTGGAAGCTAGAGAGGGAAAGAGAACACAGAGAGGCAGAGAAGGCTTGCATTTGCTGTTTGGACTGGTAAAAAGGATGGAGCACTCTCTCTTGTTCTCTTTCTTCGCCCTCTCTCTTTCATGCAGACTCTTAAAAAAAAACACTTTCAGGTCTTAGAAGGGCAAAAGGAGGAGAATTGGTCTTCATAGACCCCCTATGCCCACTCCTGGGTCTACAAACCACAGATTAAGAACCACTGTTCTTTGCAATCTTTGCAAGGAGCTCTGCAAAATAAACTTCATCTAGTCTTCCCTCCCCCTAAAAGCTAGACTTTCCACTAGATTTGTAATACTGATCCAGGAAATCTGAAATGAGGGCTAAGAGAGGACAGGTCCCACATGGCAATCAGAAGTTGTGAAACATCAGCCATTGTCTAGGCAAGGGTGGGCTTCCTTCTCACAACACGGAAGAGTAACTACATTTAGCTCCATAACTCAGCTACTACAAAGGATAGAGGCTTGCTCCCTTTTTTAAATGAGCAATTGGAATTTAGGTCAAATGATGGTTCAGACAGGTACTGGGTGGTATTCCTAGAAACTGGGTTAAATTCAGCTGACTGGATGGTGTGGCAACTCTAGAGAAAAATGAAGACGGCAAAGTTTAAAAAGAGGAGAGGACTCCTGGCTACCAAATTAAAAATATTGTCCAAAATCCACACTTGTCAGAAATTTCCAATCTTGTTTGCAACTCCAAAATGTGCACAAAAAGTAATATATTAAATACCACAAAAGACAAACATATAAGGGGAAAGTATATTTGTAATTACATTATATTAGGGGGAAACACTGGTAAAAAGTGCATGTTCAGTAAAGTGTGTTCAAAAAACTATACTAATATTCATGCAGACTCTTTTAAAAAACCAAGTTTCACCATGTTTGCAAGCTGCAGAAACATGGAATGAAATAAATTTGCAGTCAAGAAATGAAACCAAAATACATAGATTCACTGCTGCCTAGACATACATTAATTATTTCTAAACATTTATTTGACACATTCTCATGTAATTCATGAAAAAAAAATGGATCAGGAAATGACATGACAATCAGTTTGCATGTGAGGAAATACCATAACAAGTTTATCTGTGGAAACAAATCCAATTTTTCATTTGCTCTTTTCCAGTGTTTCTATCAAGCAATGATGCAAATAAAGTTATTGCAAGATCAAAGCGTGGCCGTTCTATGATTCTTGAGGAGATCTTTCAAGGTAATTTGGAAAGAGAATGCCTTGAAGAAAGGTGTACATATGAAGAGGCAAGAGAAGCATTTGAAGATACTGAAAAAACGGTATGGAACCTTCTCAGATTTTCCCTTACGGATAAGTTAATAAATCAAGCCACCGTATTAGTATGTAGAGCAATGCATGGCCCCAGTCGTAAGATTTGTTGAATCAAAAATTAACCTATAAGAGGTATGGGTCTCTGTATTAGTACAAAATCAGAAATCATGATGATCAGGTAATTATATCTCCAGTCTAGGGCCTGAACAGATGGGCAGAATACCATGGGCCAAGCCTTTGGTATCCTGCCCCTGGTTGTTTCTGATCCAAGTCAGTCCCCAGGTTAGAATGGTGATGGGCAAGTGTTTACATGCCCCCCTGCCACCGCTCCCCATGTCTTCCCTGAAGGCCCCCATTGTGGCCAGTAAGGGCACCTGGCTATACCCACGTGGCCGGGCGCCCCATCTGACATCACAGGCCATGGGGGGGGGCTTTAGGGAAGACGCAACAACAGTGACAGCAAGTAAGGGGCATGCAGGGGAGGTGTGGTGGGCTGGCTGATGCTACTGAATTTTCAAGAAACTCCATGGCAAACAGCAGTCTTCTGCCCTGTGTTAAGTTCCCTTTGGGCTGGAATCAGTCTGGGACAACTGGATCAGCATCCAGCCTGGGACTATTGGCTATTGACTTCTGCTGCCTGGTGATGTATGGGAGCTACAGTCAACAATCAAAGCTTGAAAACTGATGTTTGGAATATAGCCCCCAGAATCTTCCACTTACTATGGTCACAAGCCATTCTGTGAGTTATAGTTTAAAAATGTAAATGTTAAAGCTTTGTTATAAATGTCTGGAGGGCATCAGATTGTCTGCCCCTGATGCAAGGAAATATGTAAAGTTAATGACAAACAGTGTAACTCTCCGTGTGTATATTCAAAATCAGGTTCATTGAATTTAATGACACTTACTCCTCCCAGGTATGTGTTGACTGAGAACCCTTCCCCTTGCCACAACAAGCTCTTGGGCACAACATTGTGTGTCCCTACTAAGCCAAGACAAGGAAGAGGAATTATTTGAAATGATCATGATATACAGAAAAACTAAAGGCCATGTTGAGCCCATTGAGGAAGGGAACAGGTGAAGCATAGCTGTCTTTTCAGAGTCTAACAAAGTAAAATACCGTTAGTAGTTGTAATACTACTATTGACAGAATCAGTATCACTACTTTAATGCTCAATACTATACATGGCTTAGAGTTCATTTCTACATTCTGGTAGAACAATTGAGACAGCTGTATGTTACATTTTGTATTCACTATTTAAAGCAAAACAATTATGTTTTCCCCTCCAGAACCAGTTCTGGAATGGCTATTTTGGTAAGTAGCTTTTACATTTATATTTTCAGTATTTCTGACGTTTTATTATATTTTAAATGAAGGTTGGGCAGGTTAGTCAGAGTGGTTAATTATAATATCCACAGTAGTATATGTTGCTGTTGTGTAACTTCATGTCATTTCTGAATTATGGTGACCCTAAAGTGAACCTATCATGGGCTTTTCTTGGTAATATTTGTCCAGAGAGGGTTTCTTATTCTCTTCTACTGAGGCTGAGAGAGTGTGATTTGCCCAAGGTCACCCAGAGTTTTTCCATGGCTAAGCAGGGATTTGAACCCTGGTCTCCTGAATCATAGTCTAACACTCAACCACTACACTTTGTTGTTGTTGTTAACTGCCCTCAAGTCAATCTCGACTCATGGCAGCCCTATAGATGAGACATCTCCAAGACCCTCTGTCCTCCACTGCTATGCATAACTCCTGCAACCCCTTAATACCCGTGCTCCTTAATAGAGTCCATCCATCTAGCATGTGGCCTTCCTCTCTTCCTACTTCACTGGCTTTATTTTAGGTTGTTGTAAACTGTCTTCAATGAACCTTTTCCCTACAAAATCATGTAGATTTAGTATAAATAAATAGAATACATAGGAAATAAATAAAAATGTAGTTCAATTATTGATTAGCTTTGTACTGAAAAACTGTTTGCATTTTTGGGAGGAATGAAACTGGACACCTCTCATTAGACATTATGATTGGTTAATGAGGACATTATTATTTATGTATGATGACATTATAATTGGTTTATGATGGCATTAGGATTGATTTACTATTGTATTATGATCAATTTATGATGGCTTTATGATTGATTTATGACCCCTGTATTTTGCATTAAAGTTGTGGCACTTCTTAATAACCCATACAATGGTGTCCGGCTCCTCTTTGTCCCAGTGCAAGAGGAAAATAAGTCAGGGTATTGGTTAGAGGGGAACATTATTCTCAGAGGAGGGTGATTGTAACTTCAAACAGAAAACTTTATCATCCTTTGTTTCCTAAAGTTTATTGTCTAAAGTTGCCTTTCCTCCCAGATTGCTCATGGCCATGGGAGGTAGGGATGGGAGGTGACCTAACTTTTTCATCTACATAGCTGCTTCCTCTGCAACATCTCAAAAAAAAGTGGGGGGGGAGTAAACACAAATCCATAGAAAAGAAAAGTGATGATGTGAAGTCACAGTACAGGGGTAGGCAACCTTTCTCCTTTAAGGGCCGAGGGACTTCAGCTCCCAGAAGCCTCAGCCATGTTGGCCAATAGTCCCATGTTGGCCAATAGCTCCTGCGATTCTGGGAGCTGAAGTCCCTCGGCCCTTAAAGGGGAAAGGTTGCCTACCCCTGCCACAGTATCTACATTTTTGTTTTGAGATGTTGCAGAGGAAGCAGGTATGTAGGTGCTGATATAGATGCCAGTGAGTTTCAAAGCTAGCATGGTGTGCTTTGCATATGGCGTTTGGCCTCAAAGAGGTCTCACCGCAATACGCACTTCAGATTTTCCATAACTGCAATAATTATGAAGATTGGAAAGGGGAGGGAGTTTTCCCTTTAAATTCAGATTTTTTTCTTAAAATACAGAAATTAGCATGTTTAATCTTTATTCCAAAACCAATTACAGGCAAACCTGGATTCTTCCATTTGGTACACATATATTGCCCAGAACTCCTGGCACCTGCTGGAGTGAGAAAGAGAGAGGGGGAGAAAGAGAAAGACTTTCCTGAAGGAGCAGCAACAAGCAAGAATGTGGGAAAGGGTCTAAGATGTTTGAGGGCAGATTAGATTACTTTGAGAGTTGTTTAACACTTGCTAACATGCACATTCCCAAACCAGGGGTTTTGAAAACTTATCATGAACAGAAAGCAAAGAAAATTGTTAGTTTTCTGATTTAGAAAGTTACTCAGATAATAGTTTGCAAGGAGTACATGAAGTGAATCAGAAGATTATGGTTTGTTTAAGGCAATTCTAACCATACTTTACTCACTAACACTATTTTATTCCAGGTGGCATACAGTGTTCCTCAAGCCCCTGCCTGCATAACAGTGTATGCAAGGACAGTATTCGCAGTTACACATGTCATTGTACAGATGGTTTTGAAGGAGTCAACTGTGCCTTTGGTAACAGACGATCTCTTATTTATCCCATCCCTTTCCTTCCAGAGGATTTTGTTTGTTTCTGTTTTTAGCATATTAATATATTATTTTACTCTTTTAACATTTTATAGTGTGGTGTTTATCATTTTTTTATTGTATATGTTGTATATATTGTATATATTCCATATATTGTACATGGAAAGGGCATTATAAAATTATTATTATTATTATTATTATTATTGATTGTAAAGTAGACACTGTAAATTGCCTTCTGGAGGAGTAGGAGAGTTTTTGCAGTCAAGTAATAGTCTATGTAAATAGCTTCCTAGCTTGGGTTTCTTTCTTCCAGCAATGACTAACTAGCTACCTTAGAAAAGTTAGCAAATAACATAAAATGCCAAGGGTTTAAGTTGTTTGATTCCTATCACCTCTAACTAGCATGGCAGTAATGTGCTTAACTTCTGGCTAAAATGAGTCTTATTCTGTATAGCTAAGAATGAATGTCGCCATGAAATGGATGAGGGTTGTCAACACTTCTGCTATCCAGAACAGAAGTCCTATCGCTGTTCTTGTGCAAAAGGCTACGAACTTGGACAAGACAAGAAATCATGCATTCCACTGGGTAAGTATTGTTGTTGTTGTTGTTATTGTTGTTGTTGTTGTTGTTAAAATGTATTTATATCCCACCTCTCTTATTATTATTTTTAAAAAACATGATCTTTTTAGAAGGCAACAGCGAGACCAAGATAGGGTATTGCTTCAGCAAATGAACTGTGATCCAAATTATCTGAAGTTCACATCTTACAAGCAATACATCCAGTTGCTACCCATAACAAGCCTCTGCTTTTTTTAGTTGATTTCCCGTCCCATTAAAAAAAAAGGCCTATTTTAGGAGGAAGGGGATGGGAGGAGGCTGGGAGGCAATAGAGTTGATGACAGCGGGGCTGGTCTGCACTTCCAGGGAAAGGAAAAGAAGGATAATAATAAAATAATAATAAAATTTTATTTTTATCCCGCCCCTCTGCTTAGCAATCG